GGATGCTTCCCAGACACCCTTGTTGTGTTCATAGGAAGCACATGTGTGTGCTCTGTCCCTGCTCCCTTCCCAGACTTGGGTTCCTGGCTGATTCCCATGGGATCATCCTCTGCCCGGGTCTCATGTGTGCCCTTCCCACTCAGGACATGACATCGATGGTGAAGACTGTGCTGGACCTGACCTACCCTATCACATCCATGTTCTCGGGGGCCGGCCTTAACAGCAGCATCTGTAGCGTCTTCAAGGACCGGCAGATCGAGGTGCCCCCCCCAAACAGGGACCTCCCTCATCCCCTCGAGCCTCCAGGCCTGCAGGGTCGAGGGCTGGCAGTGGGGAGGATGGCCCTTCTGAGTCCTGCTGTCCCCTTACAGGACCTGTGGATCCCCTACTTCACCATCACCACAGACATCACGGCCTCCGCAATGCGGGTCCACACGGATGGTGAGCACCTCCTCCTTGGGTTCCCCTTGATACGGGCTCAGACGTGCACAGGGCACAGCGCCCCCCACCCCACCCCCGCTTGGGGCAGCGTGACTCGGGAAGGGTACTGAAGGACCAGCTCGGGGTCGGGGGACAGGCAGGCAGAGAACCTGGAAGCTCCATGAGCCAGAGGAAGCACCGAGATGACCCGAAGGAGGCAAGGAGCTCAGGGAGGTCTGAATCCAGAGAGGATCCTGCCGCGAGCGTGAAGGAAACGGGTAGGGACAGAACCAAGAGTCTGGAAGCACCCAGAAGCCCAAACTGGACACAGAAAGGTGCAGATAACAATGTGAACTGAGAGCAGAGAGGAGTAGGGCGAAGGGCACACTCACACCTGGGGGATGTGGGGGGCGAAGGGCACGCTCAGGCTGGGGGGACACGGGGCGAAGGGCACGCTCAGGCTGGGGGGCGCGGGGTGAAGGGCACATGCAGGGCATGTGTTTTGTGGGCTCAGATCAGCAGTTGGTGGGAGACTGCTGGGCTGGGGACCGTGAGAAGGCCAGTACATGGGTGGCAGCTGAGGGCCCTGTTCCAGGGCAAAGTGGTTTGTGAGCTGAGTGCGTGTGTCTCTTTGGAGGTGAGTGGGATGGTGGGGCTCACAGCAGAATGTGGGGGGACTGCAGAACCAGCCGGGCCTCCCCTGGGCCTCTGGCCCTCCCCATGCTCCCTCTGTGGAGAGAGCCTCCCTTGTGAAGGAGGAAGAACAGGAGGTGTGTCTTGTCTGTCCAGATGTGCAGACTTCAGGAGCCCACGCGGGCAGGGCTCTGAGCCAAGGGGCCAGGGCAGGAACCCACTGTGAGCAGCAAAAGGCTTCCCTCCTGCCCCTTGGCAGGTTCTGGTGACAACCGCCCCCCCACACCCCCCAACTCTCTCCCAGGCTCCCTGTGGAGGTACGTGCGTGCCAGCATGTCTCTGTCAGGCTACATGCCTCCCCTCTGCGACCCCAAAGACGGACACCTGCTGATGGACGGGGGCTACATCAACAACCTGCCAGGTACCGCACCCACCCTCCCGCACCCACCTCCACTCTTGTTGTCCTCAGAGTGTGCTCGTGGAGCCCAGAGAACACGCACAGGCACATGCAGACACATGCCCTTGTGCACACACACTTGGGCATCGTGTGCTCCCAGCATATGGCCCTGTTTGTCAGCTCAGCAGCACTCAGAACAAGGGCCAAGCAGAGGAGCTGAGAGCAATTACGTCCCATCTGTGCCCACAGTTGGAACTAACAGCCAGAAAGTGCCGGGGTTGTTGTGGGCGAGGCTCCTCCCTCGGGCACACCTGTCACCTGTTGGACAGTTCTGTGCATTAGGCTGCCCCTCTACAGGCCCAGGAGTGACACTGGACAGGAGACCCTCTGGCCCTTGCAGGCTCTATCCCTGCCCCGCCCCCAGCCCTGCTCCCACCTGGGGCTCTGCATGCCTGTCCTGGGTGGTGACCAAGGCTGTCTTCTCCCCAGCGGATGTGGCCAGGTCTATGGGGGCAAAGGTGGTGATTGCCATTGACGTGGGCAGCCAGGACGAGACGGACCTCACCAACTACGGCGACGCCCTGTCTGGGTGGTGGCTGCTCTGGAAGCGCTGGAACCCCTTGGCCTCAAAAGTCAAGGTGGGGGCATAACTCTGCACAGTGCCCAGGCGGCCAGGTGCTCCTCTGTGGCTTCTGTCCCCAAGATGGGCAACATGGTGCAGCACAATGCCTCTGTGGGCAGAGGAGGGTTGTAGCCCGTTCCGGGCTCCAAGGCCAACAGGGCTGCAGTCACTAGCTCACTGTCCTTGCCAGGGATCCTGCATGGACCAGCTCTAGGGAAAGGGGACAGGCCCACCACCCGCCAGGCTCCATCTCCAGGATCCCTGGCTGGGCACCTGCCCTCCTCCCAGGCCTAGCAGAGATGTGTCTCCCCTTGGGAGAGGGGAGGGAAGGGGCCAGGGTGTGAGACGCAGGCAGCTGTGCCCATACGGGGTCCCTGGAGCCGTGGGGGGCCCGCAGAGCCTCGCTCAGATGCTTCGACGGCCCCAGGTGTTGAACATGGCGGAGATCCAGACACGCCTGGCCTATGTATGCTGCGTCCGGCAGCTGGAGATGGTGAAGAACAGTGAGTACTGTGAGTACCTGCGCCCCCCCATCGATAGCTACGGCACTCTGGACTTCGGCAAGTTCAACGAGATTTGCGTGAGTGCAGCTGGGGTGTGGAGGGCCTGCAGGGCAGTGCCTGCCCTCACTTCTGAGCTCGGAAGTGGGGCCTCCTGACACCTGGTCCCGGGGTTCCTGGTGTGTGTGCAGGAAGTGGGGTACCAGCATGGGCGGACAGTGTTTGACATCTGGGGTCGGAGTGGTGTGCTGGAAAAGATGCTGCAGGACCGACAGGGGACAAGCAAGAAGGCATGTGATGTGAGTGCCCGAGCTAGCGCCCCTCCTCCCTCCCTCCCTCCCTCCTGAGACCGTCCTCTGCCTGCCGCAGGGGGCCTGAGAGGTGCAGGGCTCCCCGCAGGCAGTACTCTGGCACCCCGCCCCCCAAGCTGCTCAGGCCTCTGGTACTCCCCCAGGGGCCAGGAGACAAGGGCAGGGGTGCGGCCCTGTGGTAGCTATCTCTTGGCCTCTGCCCCGGCACCCCCTCTTTTTTCCCCACTTTGGCTCTCTGCTGCTCATGGTAGGCAAGGGTGGGGGCCTGTTCTGGCCTCTGCTCATCTTCCACGCCCTGCCCCAGCTCCAGGGGTCTGGGCACCTCAGCAGGCTAGGACCACAGGGGGTTGCAGAGAGGCGCTGGGGGCCTGGCCAGGCAGCCAAGGGCTGTGGTCTGGGGACCAGAGGAGCTGTGGCCTTGGCCACATGTCTCTTCCATCTCGGCCCTCCAGGTCCTCACCTGCCCCAACGCCTCCTTCACTGACCTTGCCGAGATTGTGTCACGCATTGAACCCGCCAAGGTAGCCACGGTGGACGGTGAGTTGGGTGCTCAGGACACACACCTGCATAGCTGAGGGTGCTGTTGGCAGCGTCTCCCTCTAACCCTTGGCACGCCCAACAAGCCGCCCTGGCCGCCGGGCTCCCTCTAGCAGCCCTGGGGCCTGATGACCACCGTGGCATGGCCCCTGCCCTCAGGAGGGGACCAACACAGCCCTCCCCTCCGTCCAGACGAGTCTGACTACCAGACCGAGTATGAGGAGGAACTGCCAGACGGCCCAAGGGATGCGTATGCTGACTTCCAGAGCGCCCCGGCCCACGTGGGCTCGGACTCGGTGAGCTGCCCGGACCTGCCTGTGCCCCTGGGCTGAGTCAGCGCTGAGGGCTCCAAGCAGGCCAGCCGCTCCCTCCCTCTGCTGCCCTGCAGCACAGAGCCAGTAGGGCGAAGGGCACAGCCTGGCCCAGGCTCAGCCCTCCAGGCTCAGCCCCACCATGACATGCCGTTTGCTTCCAGGACGACGAGTCCTCACTTCGGCATCGGAGCCCCAGTCTGGCTTCCCAGGACTGCCCCCGGACTCCTACCCCTAGCACTCTGACCAGGATGGGTAGAGGTCTCCACTCAGATGCACCCTAGAGCAGCATCTGCTGTGGGCCTCCCTCAGAGACCCTGGCTCCTGCAGCTCCTGGGGCTCTTCCTAGCCCGCCAGGAAGACCGGCTGGGGCCTAGGGCCCGTGAGCCACTGAGTCCAGCTTCTCTTGTGCTGGAGCCCAAGCTGCGCTGGGTGCCTCTGCCCGTCTGCACCGGCAGCTTCTGGTGGGGCTCTCGGTCCTGGCACCCTCTGTGCACAACGGCAGTCCCAGGGGCTGTGCCCGCCCCCGCGGGGCTCCCGGAGGCCTCGGAGACCTGTCGGAGCCCCTGGTGCACCTGCTTGATGTGTCAATAAAGGTAGATCTGACTGTGTGTGGACATGTCCCTTGCCAAGGTCCTTGTGGCAGAGAGCAACACGATGGGCCTGACCGGAGCCGGGGAGCAGCCGCGGCCCCCATCACTGGTCCACCGTGGGGTTGGGGGGTGGGGGCGCATCCCTGAGTCCGGACTGGGTGTGGCATCACCTGCTGTCCTCCGAAGTCACCATGTGGGGGCCGCAGGCAACCCGGTGCAACAACTGACCAGGCAGGCAGGACACCCAGGGTCCGCATGGAGCTGGGGTGCCCCGAACCAAGAAGGAGCCCACTGCTGACCTCTCAGGCATCTTCCCCCGCAGTACACGGGCTGCTCTCCTGGGTCGCGTGCCGCCCACACTGTCTCGGATCGTTAATAGCGCCAGGGAGCCCTTTCGTATAGAAGGAGGGACAACTCCGGCCCTGCGTCTTTGGGGTCCGCAGCCCCTGCAGGTCTCCAAGGGGCAGGGAGACCCCTGACCCGAGGGCCTAGGACCTTGCAGTCAAGTGGCCGCCAGCCTGTTCCTCGGCGTCCCCCTCCCCAGCGCCTGCACGGTGGGCGGGACCGCCGCCCCAGTCCCCTCCGGACGACCCCGCCAGGCTCCGACGTCACGGGCGGCCACCTCCGGGCGTGACGTCGCGGTGGGCGGAGCCCGGCCCCGCCCCTCCCGTGACGTCGCGGTGGGCGGAGCCGCCGCCCCCGGCCCGGCCGCGCTCTCCCGGTGCGGCGGGACTCGCGGACGGCCCAGCGCCGCCATGCGGGGCCCGGGCCCGAGCCGGAGCCCCGGCGCGGCGTGGCTACCCCGGCGGAGGCGGCGGGCGCGGGGCGCGCTCTGAGGCCGGGGGATGCGCCGCCGCCGCCGCCGCGACCATGGGCGCCGCCGCCTCCCGGAGGAGGGCGCTGAGGAGCGAGGCCATGTCCTCGGTGGCGGCCAAAGTGCGGTGAGTGCGGCGGGCCGGCCGGGGCTCCGCGCCCGCCCCCGGCCCCCTCCCCCGTGGCGGGGCTTCTCGCCGCGCCTCCCTCCCCCACTCGCCCCGCCGCCGCGGCGCGGCTCCCCTCCCGGAGACAGCTGTGGGCGAGATGCCGACCTCACGACCCCCGCCCCACACGCAGTGACGGGGGCTGGACAGAAAGCCACCCGGGCCGCGGCCACGTTGCCCTGGGACCCAAGGGCCCCTGAACTGCGACCTGCCGGCCCTGGGTTTTCTGGGGGTGGGACGGCACGGTCTGCCGTGAGTGACCCCGACCCTCCCCTTGCTGGTGCCGGAGGCCTGTGGGGGTGGGGACCCCAGGCTCCCTTTCGGGGAGAGTCCGGAGCGGCCTGGGTGCACTGAAAGCGCACCCCGCTGTCCACCCTTCAGAGCAGCCCGAGCATTTGGCGAGTACCTGTCCCAGAGTCACCCTGAGAATCGGAACGGTGCAGGTAGGGGCATTCGAAGAGGTGCCAGGACAGGGTGGGTCCGCAGCCCCACCCCACCCCCACGCCGTAGGGCTGCCGTCCCCTGCCCCAGGCCTGGCCCAGCCCGTGGGCTGTGAGCTGCTGGGCTGGCTTCCTCACGCCCCCTGCCCTCCCTGGCCCAGAGCCCCAGGAGGAGCTCAGAGTCACTCATCACCATGGCACCCACCCAGCCTGGGCCGTTGGCATGGCAACAGGCCTCCTGGCACCCCCAGGGTTGGCACCGCTGTCTCTTGGGGCCAGCTGGTGGGGGGGAGGGGAGAAGTTGGCACTGGGCACACGGGTGCAGTGGCAGGCTGGGAGGTGGCCTGTTTATTCCCGTCCGTCCCCCACCACCCGCAGGTAGTGTAGCCTGTCACCCCCACGCACACACACCCAGGGCTTGGGGCCCGGGTAGGAGGAGGGTGGGAGCCTAGTCTAAGCGGAGTGCGCAGCTCGCAAACACCTTTTCCGAAGACAGCGGGGGCTTAGCGTTTGGTCACTGGGGCTGGAGGGCAGCTGCAGTCCCCCCATCCAGGCCAGGCACTTACTGGGTGTCCTCTGCCCTCACCGCACCAGGAGAATGGGAGGGCAGGGCCAGAGGGCTGCAGTTCACCTGGTGCCTCTCCCCCAGACCACCTGCTGGCTGACGCCTACTCTGGCCACGACGGGTCCCCCGAGATGCAGCCAGCCCCCCAGAACAAGCGTCGCCTCTCCCTCGTCTCCAATGGCCGCTACGAGGGCAGCCTCTCAGAGGAGGCTGTCGGCGGGAAGCCGGCCGGTGAGGGCCCCCAGCCCCGTGTGTACACCATCTCCGGGGAGCCGGCCCTGCTCCCCAGCCCAGAGGCCGAGGCCATTGAGCTGGCCGTGGTGAAGGGGCGGCGGCAGCGGGAACGGCACCCCCACCACCACCACAGCCAGCCCCTGCGTGCCAGCCCGGGGGGCAGCCGTGAGGACGTCAGCAGGCCCTGCCAGAGCTGGGCAGGCAGCCGCCAGGGCTCCAAGGAATGTCCAGGATGCGCCCAGCTGGCCCCTGGTCCCAGCCCCTCCCCTCGGGCCTTTGGGCTGGACCAGCCACCTCTGCCTGAGGCCACGAGCCGCCGCAAGAAGCTGGAGAGGATGTACAGTGTTGATCGTGTGTCTGGTGAGGGCAGGCTCGGGGGCAGGGAGCTGATGCTGGGGTTTGCTGGCAACCACCACTATGAGGCTTGGACAGGTGGAGGGTGTGTAGGTGCCCCGCAGCACCGAGTCAATCAAGGAGTACTTCCTGGAGGAGGGGGATTAGGAGCGTCTTGATTGAGCACACAGAAAACGTGGCTTAATTAGAAAATCGGGCTGCCTTTGGGGAGTCCTGGGGAATAGTCCCTGCCCTGGGTCCCAACAAATGAAGTTCCCAGTAACCTCAGGAAGCTGTCTGGGGCCTGGCCAGGTATTGGGTGCCTCCTAGGATTGCTGAGCTGTGTGAGTGGCTGGTGAGCCCTGGAGGCTTACTGTGTCTAGAGGACACTTGAGCAGCCCCATGCCTCCTGGCTCTGAGGTCACATCCTGAAAAGCAAGAGTGCTAACTAGCCGAGCCCCCACATCATCCCAGGATACCTCCTGGGCTTCCCAGTCCGCCACCTGCCTAGGCATCAGGGCACAGGCCGGGGGTGTGGGCAGTTCACCTCCATGACCTCATGCTTCTCTGATGGACACAGCCTAGGGGTTGGGGCAGGGGTCAGGGTGAGAAAGTAGAGCAAACTTCCATCCACCCCATCTGGGAGCTGTAGGGGTCCTGAGAAGGGGCAGCCCTTGGCAAGACAGTCTCCACGCTGGGGGAGGGCCTCCACCTCACCCTCCTGGAACGGTGCAAGGGAATGGAATGTGCAGGCTGCAGAGAAGGCCCCAGAGCCCCCAGGAAAGGCTGCAGCCATTGCCCCTGCCCTGTTCCTCCTCTTCAAAGAGAAACAAAGTGAATCCTTTCTCTGGGCCCCCTGGACACAGGCTGTGCTTTCAAAGGACTGTTCTTCCACTGTAGGCAGCCCCAGGGAGAGCTGGGCAAAGACCGACTGTCACGAAGCTGCTGAGTTGTCTTGGCGTGAACAGCTGAGCAGGCACATGCTACCTTAGAGCCCCATGCCAGGGTCCGCCCACCTGGGAGAGGGTTAGGGCACCCTGGAGCTTTTCCTCCACTGGCTTTGGCAGAAGCATCGCCTTCCCTGGCAGGTGGAAGTAAAGGTTTTAGGAAGCCCCAAGCCACCCTTGCCACTTTTGTCTTGCAGATGACACCCCCATCCGAACCTGGTTCCCCAAGGAAAACCTCTTCAGTTTCCAGACAGCAACCACAACTATGCAAGCGTGAGTCGTGTACCTGATATGTGCCCACGGCGTGGGGCCTGGGCCAGGGGCTCTTCTTGGTGCTCAGGAAGTACTGCTGGACCCTCTCCCTCCTGTTGGGCCCACCTGCGTGACTGTTTCCGAGCGGCCCCACGCGCCCATGTCCCACCATGGCTGCCAGATGTGACATCAGTCTCAGGGAAGGCAGGGCTGGCTACTGTCCTCCCCCAGCCTCCCACTGCCCCTCCCACACCCCATCCCTTTACCACCCCTCCCTCCGCACTGCCCTGCCTGCCCTCTGCTCTCCTGGCCCTCCCCTGTCTTTGATGGTCCTCTGGGGACCTGGCCCAGGGCTGCAGCTGATGCGGTCACCAGTGGGGGTGGTTCTCCTAGGCCACTGCCTCATCTCAGCTCCCAGACAGCAGTGGATTTGTACCCTGTGTGCACCTTGAGGGATCACACCTCAGGAGTCCCCTGCGGGGCCGGCTCTTTCCTGTCTGGGACATGTACCTGGGTTTTCGGACACGGAGTTCCTTTCAGAGAGGAACCCTTTGCTGCAGTGCCCCCCACACTGAGGAAGCTCCCCCCCCGATGCTGCTCTGGGGAGCCCAGCACTGCCCCCAGGCTGGCTGGGGGCTGCCACCTTTGCCACCAGGCCCAGACCCGGCAGAAATGACCACGTCACAGCACCTGGTAGCATGAGCCCATGACCTCCGCAGCCACGGCCCTCTCGTGGGCTTCCCACAGCAGAGCTAGTGCCCGGAGTATGAGTGAGGGGCTCCTGGAGTCGATGACAAGGGCAGTAACAGGGAACTCAGGGGGCTGCCGGGGTCGTGGCTCACTATGTCTTCTTTCCCACGCTGCCCCGTCCCGCCGTACCTCCAGCATCTCGTAAGTACCCTGTGGGACCTGGAGCTTAAGAGCACGGTGGTTGTCCCTGGGGGACCCTCCTACCCCCAGATAGGCTTGGGCAGGCCAGGGACCTGGGCCTTGAGTGTGAGGGAGAGCTGCACCCCCGCAAGTGCCAAGGGCCTGCCAGAAGCAGGGCGGAGGACAGGGTGAGACAGGCCAGGAGTCTCCTGCCTGGCCCGGCGCCCTGGATGCCCCTCCAGGCCCTGTTCTCACGACTCTGTCCCCACGTCTCGGTCCCTCCTACCTGCGGCCAAGGGCAGTGCTGACTCGTGGTGGTTTCCCAGGGTGTTCAGGGGCTACGCGGAGAGGAAGCGCCGGAAACGGGAGAATGATTCCGCGTCTGTAATCCAGAGGTAGGGCCTGCCAGCCACTCGCCACCAGGGTCCGTCTCTTGTCTGTGCTGGTCTGGCCTGGACCCACTGGGCCCTGGCAGACCTGATGGGGGAAGGGCGGTGGCGACCACTGGCCTGGCCCTGCTCTGGGGACGCAGCAGGCAGGAGAGGTCATGGAACCTGGGCCCCCTAGGCCTGTGTTTTGGGGGTACGTTGACAGTGGGACTCCAGCCAGCTAGCCCACCCATGTCTCTCCCTGCCCCTTGAACCCCAGAGCTGTGGGGTCAGCAACAAGGCTTATCCTCCCCAAGCCCCACCTCAGAGATGTGGCCGGAAACCTTGTCCATCTTGGACCCTGGACCTGGGTAGGGCACACATTTGGGGGTAAAGAAGACCTGTCTCTGAGGTGGCCCAGGGACATGAGAGCAGGGGCAGGAGTGTCTGCAGGCCCCAAACCGACCTGAGGCTGGCGCAGACGGTCGTGCTGCCCTGGTCCCCGAGCGCAGGCAGCGGGAGCCCTCGACCACTTGGAGAGGGGGGCTGGTGGGGCTCAGAGTGTGCCTGGGCCCAGAGGGAACGGAAGGGTGCGCAGGGGAGGTGGGGGCCTGAAGGCGGGGGAAGTCACCAAGGGAGTGGTCCTGCGATAGGGGCGACGGCAAGAGAAGGCTTGACCACTGTGCCTTTGTCCTGGCAGCAAAGGGGAGCCCTGGAGAGGTGTCCGCATGACAGGGACTGGGTGGGACTTGCGCCTGAGTGGGCGGGGAGCGAGTGGGGGAGCGCAGGGGCGCGAGAGCCATTTCTTTCCTAAAGAGGTGAAGGCAGAGCCTCAGGCAACGTCAGGTGCGACTGCGGGGCGGTGGCGCCAGGAGCAGGGAGCATGGGGGACCGGTCCGCCGCCCACCCACTCTGGCGATCCTCACCAGCCCCCGTGTTTCTTCCCCAGGAACTTCCGCAAACACCTGCGCATGGTCGGCAGCCGGAGGGTGAAGGCCCAGAGTAAGACCCAGGGCAGGAGGGTGGGCAGGTGGGCGGCGCTGCTCTCGGCCGGCTGGGGCTTTGCGGGCTGCTAGCTGCGCCGGGAGGACCCGCGTTCCCAAACCCCCACCCCAGCCCGAGCCGGGAACCCTGGACTCCGGCCCCGCCCCATCCCTGCAACGGAACCCCTGCCTCAGGCTCCGCCCCGGGCTCCAGGCCCCACCCACAACCCCGCCCCCGACTCCCGCCGCCCCGGCCCCTCCGCACGGGCCGCGCCTCTGGGCCGGACGCTCACTCCGCCGCCCGCACCCCTGCTAGGCCTGCGCGTCCCGGCCGGTCCCCAGCCCCTGACCCCGCGCGCCAGACTCGGCCCCGGCGCCGCGGACTGACGTCCTCCGCCCGCCCAGCCACGAGCGCGGCCCGGGGCCAGCCCGGCCGTGGGGCCAGCCCGCCGTGGGGCCAGCCCGCCGTGGGGCTCCGCGGCCCCGAGTCCGCTCTCAGGCTCCGCCCCTCCCGCCCCCGCTCCAGCCGCTGACGCCGCTTTGCTCTCACTGCAGCGTTCGCCGAGCGGCGCGAGCGGAGCTTCAGCCGGTCCTGGAGCGACCCCACCCCCATGAAAGCCGACACTTCCCACGACTCCCGAGACAGTAGGTGCCCGGCGCAGGCCGGCCCACCTGCCCCAAGAGGCTCCGCTAGGCCCCCAGCTCCCGCGCTCCGCAGGGCGGGCCTCCTGCCCGGGCAGCTAGGCTTCTGCGCTTCTGCTCTCTGAGCCTCAGTTTACCCATCTGTGAGGTGGGGGCACCTCGTGGGCGGGGTGCTGTTTGCTGCCGCAGCTCCGGGAGACCGGAGGGGCCGGGGGCTGCCTTGCCCTGCTGCTGGCTCCAGGGCCGCGGCTGGCCTGGCCCTCCTGGCATTGTGCGGGCGTCCACAGTGCAGCAGCGTGGGGGTGGGGGCAGCGGCCGGTCTCGCCAGGCTGGTGGTGGCCTCTGTTGGTCGCTGTCCCCCACCCTGGTCTTCTCGCTGGCCTGGAGGGCCTTCCGGGAGTCTTTACTGCGGTTTCTACCACTCGTGTCTGCGGGTAACAGCTGGGACTGGAGGTGCCGCTGATGGCCCCCGGCCCTGGTGACCCATCCTGCCCCTCAGGTAGTGACCTGCAGAGCTCACACTGCACCCTGGGTGAGGCCTTCGAGGATCTGGACTGGGAGACCGAGAAGGGGCTGGAGGCAGTGGCCTGCGACACCGCGGGCTTTGTGCCCCCCAAGGTCATGGTGAGGTCGGGTGTCTTTACACTATTCCTGTTCTAGCCGGTTCTGGGCTGGCGGGGGCGGCGTCCTTTTTCCTCCAGGAGCCCAACTGGCTCTACCTGGAGATGATGCGGCCATCACAGGCTGCCCAGCAGTGGGGGGCAGCCTCACGGGGCCACCCACTGCCCATGGGCTCCAAGGCGGCTGGGCCCTGAGCAGCTCCCTGCGCTGTCTGCAGCTCATCTCCTCCAAGGTGCCCAAAGCTGAGTACATCCCGACTATCATCCGCAGGGACGACCCGTCCATCATCCCCATTCTCTATGTGAGTCTCTCCCCCAGCCCCCGGTGCTGGGTGGGGCTGCTGCCTGAGAGGGGCTCTGACCAGAGTGTGGCCTGTGTCTGTTTCAGGATCACGAGCACGCGACTTTTGAGGACATTCTGGGTATGTGCCCTCCAGCCCCACTGTCTTCTGATCCTGGGTGTGGGGGTTTAGCTACAGGCCATGGTGGGGGTGGGGGGGCACCAGGGGACAGCTCACACTCCTCCCTCCCTAGAGGAAATAGAGAAAAAGCTGAACATCTACCACAAGGGGGCCAAGATCTGGAAGATGCTGATTTTCTGCCAGGTAGGGCTCAGCCCCTTCCTGCTGGGGGCGTGGAGTTGGGGGTATCAATTGAGAATGTGCGGCCTCCGAACGACCACGTGTCTGTGTGATGGGGGGCAGTGAATGGACGCCCTCTGTGTACGCCCCACGTGGCCAACTACAGTTTCTGACAGGGCGGCCCAGGACACCTGTACCTGCTCAAGAACAAGGTGGCCACCTTTGCCAAAGTGGAGAAGGAGGAGGACATGATCCAGTGAGTAGGCAGGGCTGCCTGCGGAGGCTGGATAGGGGAGTTAGAGGCAGCGTCCGTCTGCACACCCCATCCCTGCAGCCCCTCCCCAGGATGCTCCTGTCTCTGGAGCCGGGTCCTGGACGCTGGCCTGCCCCTCCTCCCACGTGGGGGCCTGGGCTGGAGGCTACCTGTGACCCAGCCCTCCCCCCACCAGCTTCTGGAAGCGCTTGAGCCGCTTGATGAGCAAAGTGAACCCAGAGCCGAACGTCATCCACATCATGGGCTGCTACATTTTGGGGAACCCCAACGGGGAGAAGGTACAGGGACCCCAAAACCCTGCCCCAGGCTTCTGGAAACCCCAGACCCACTAAAAGAGTTGACAGCGTCTCATTTTTCTACACTCCTCTCTTCCTTCAACCCCTCAGAAGCCCCCTGTGTTTGAGCCCAGTCAACGATGGGGGGGTTCCTGCTACACCCCTTCCTCCTCCCCCAACCCCTCCCTTCCCTTGCCCTGAACTCACGGCCCCGCCCTGCCCTTTCAGCTGTTCCAGAACCTCAGGACCCTCATGACCCCTTACAGGGTCACCTTTGAGTCCCCGCTGGAGTTGTCGGCCCAAGGTGAGCTTGCCAGTCTGGTTCCCAGCCTAAGGGGTGGGGTCCAGGGGGTGAGGCCTGAACCCTGGCCTTTCTTCTTGTGCCCCAGGGAAGCAGATGATTGAGACCTACTTTGACTTCCGGCTGTACCGCCTGTGGAAAAGCCGTCAGCACTCGAAGCTGCTGGACTTTGAGGATGTTCTCTGAGGGCCGCCACCCGGCTGCTTCCGTGGACCAGCGGCTGGGGCTGGGCCCCTTGTGTGTGGCCCAGGACCGCGTGGGTCCCAGTCTTCACGGCCGCTTCAGGGCACCCTCAGATGTTGCTCAGGTTCCCTCCTGGGGGTCTGGCCCTCACCGCACCCCAGGCCACTGAGGTCGTAGCCCCTGCGGCCCGGGACGAGCCTCACCCCACGTGGCCAGGGGGTGCTCGGCAGCCGGGCGCTGATGGGGCCTAGGCCCTGCCCAGGGGCTGCAGTGCTGGGGCGGCTCCTCTCTGCAGGTTCCTAGAAATAAGTGCAATTTTCACAGCCCCGAAACAGTTCAAAGGGAAGCAGCATTATTAGTTGAATAGTTAAGTGCTATGTTACTAGTTACGGTGTAGACAACCCAGCCCAGTGTGTGTCCAGGATCTTCTCTGCCCCCAGCCCCCCCAGCCCTGCCCCATTTGATCACCAGCACCAGGGCGGCCCGTCTGTGGGGCAGTGTTGCCCGGCTGTCCGGCCTGGCTCCGGCCCTGGCCGAGGCCCTGATGGTCTGTGCTTGCCCTCTTGCCACCCCTGCTTTCTCTGACCTCAGCCGCACCGGCCCAGCAGGGGTGTCTGGGCAGCCGTGGAGGGGACACGCCTCCCCTTCTCTCAAAGGAGGCTCTGGGTTGAGCGGGGCCCTGCCGCTCCCCGTCCTCCAGCAGCCGCCCGGCCCCCTGATGCTGCGGTGCAGTTCAGCTTTTGCCAGGCTTGGTCTGGAGCCCTCTCCCAGTGCAAAGGGTTCAGCAGGGGCAGGCCGGGGCTGGGCCCCGGTGGGTGGGAACCCCGCCACACACGGCAGTGGGTGCCTGGACCCCGCAGCGGCGCTGAGCAGCAGTGGACTCTGGGGCCCAGTGGGGCTGGCTCTTGTACATAGCTGGGGCTCGGGGGCAGGCCCCCCTCCGCAGAGCCTGGGTGTGAGGACACCTGGCTCTGCGCTCAGCTAAGGGAGGAACAAGGGCATGTGCTGGGCTCTGAATGATGTACGATATCCCTTAGAGTGACCATTAAACCTGACCCTCCGCTGCGGCCACCGCCTGGCTCTCCTCTCAGCACCATCCACTACCTCCCTGGGCCCAGAAACTTCGGGGCCTGCTGGTCCAACGTTGCTGCCATGGCTGCCTGGACAGAGAGGGCTGGGTGGGGCCTCTAGACCTCCCCTGCCAAGGGCACGCTCCATGAGAGAGTCTGGCAGCGGCGGGGAGGGAGAAAAGCAGGTTCTTGAGATAGCCGCAGGGGGCAGAGGAGTGTGCTCCTGGAAGAGGGTCGAGAAGGGTCAGGAGGTGAGAACAGAGACCCCCAGGCACCAAGCAGAGGGCCACCCACCCCTCAGGCCGCTCTCCGCATCTGGTCAGCAGTATGGCTGCCGCAGGATGCCAGGAAGTGACCGTGGGATCAGCTGGCCTACCCTTTTCCAGATGGGCCCAGTGCTGCTTCTCCCCCAGTGGCAAGCTCCTGCTGGGCATAGCTGGGCCTGCTACCAGGTGGCTCCTGGTCTCTAGTGGTCCAGGGATGGGGCAACAGGCGCCAGATGTGCACAACAAGGCCACCAAGGGCTGGGCAGGACGGGAGGCCACCAGTGGACAGCGTGGGTAGAGTCCAGGAGGCTTGAGGCCTTGGGTGCTGGGATCCTGGAGGCAGGCGGCCCTTCCTGGGGTGGGCATGCCAGCTCCAGGGGCACACAGCCCTGCAGCCTCCAGGTGCTTCCAGGGCATCCCACACAGGGCTGGGGCAGGCAGCCGAGCGGTCGGTGTCTGCGGGAATAGGTAAGCTCGTAGGTACGCACATGCCACATGCCTGTCCACACACTCTCACGTACAACGTCGTGTTATCTGGGAGTTTTTAGTGCACTCAGTGCCTGAGCCATGACGTATCGCCCCTGCTCCTAACGCCTGCAGGCTGCCTGGTGCTGCCAGGATTTCTGTCTGTAGGCTTTTGTCTTAAACGTGCAGGCCAGGAGGCTAGCTCTCCCCAAGACGACCCAGCTACCTGCACGCTGTGCGCTTAGAGGGCACGTTTACTGTGCTGTCTGCAACCCTTTTCCCAGGACCAGCTGGAAACTGTGTCCCATGCCCTTTCCCCTCGCTTTCCCTCACCTAGTGGGGCCCTGTAGCTGCAGGTCTGGGGCTGCTTCAGCAGGACTGTCCAGCCCACACCGTCCTTCAGGACAGCTGCGGTGGAGAAGGCCTGAGAGGTCTGCCAGCAGGAGGCTCGAGGTCTTAACGTCTGGCTCACAAGTTTCCATTCCTTGCCCCATAACCACTGAAGAGAAGCATGGTGGAGGGACAGAGGTCAAGAGTGGGAAAAACACCATCCAGGAACAAGCCCAGTACAATATGGACAAGCATTTTGGAGAAGTACAAGCGGGGAAGGTGTGGCAGACGTGAGGGCCGAGGCTGGCCGGGGCCACCGCAACGCTGACCCACCCACCTGCCCCAGCAGCTAGAGGTGGTGAGAGAGGCGGAAGGGTCCTTGACACGTAAGAAGTTCTTATGTATTAAGTAAAGGACAGCAGTCGGGAGGGGAAGTGAGTAAAGATCTCGAGAGAGAATACAGAAAAGGAAGTCAAGGGGCTAATGAATGCACAGTCTTCTTAGCGCATTAGGGACCCAGTGAAAGCCAACAAAAGGGACGAGGTATTACTTCTTGCCTGTTGGTTTGGCACAAACATGAGGGCATTAGTGCCCTATGCTGGTGAATGTGTGGGAAAAAGGTAACGTGAGTTGATAGAGCCTTTCAGGAAGATAATCTGGCCACAGCTCTTAAAATATAACTGATATGGGGCACCTGGGTGGCTCAGTCAGTTGAGCATCTGACTTGATTTCAGCTCAGGTCATGATCCAGATAGAGCCCTGCATGGGGCTCCACTCAGCAGAGAGTTTGAGATTCTCTCCCTCTGCCCCTCCCCAACTCGCACTCTCTCTCTCAAATAAATCTTGAAATTGTATGTGTGTGTATATGTATATTATATGCATTATATATATATATATATATATATATATATATATATATATATATATATATAGCTGATAAACCAGCAGGTCTGTCGAGACAACACCTCCCTCCCTCTGGGGCCGCTGTCCTTTGCCCTCGTTCATGCCACTGATTGGGGCAAGGCCAGATCACAGGGCCGGCTATCCCAGAAGGAGCAGATGGCTCAAAAGGCTCATTGTTAAGGGGGAAATATGGTCAGGCCTCTGTTTAAAGTGAGTAGGTAGGTGAACAGTGATGAGAGGAGTCCGGCCACCCACTGTGACATGTATGCCTTCATAATTAATTCATAATTACCCAGAAGGCCGGGCCCGAGCACAATCCTTGCCTCTCCAAACAGCATGGGCACAGGTGGTCCCAGCCTGCCCATCTCCCCCACGCTGCCCTCTCTGTGCCTCACTCACCTGCTGTGGGCCCTCCTTGGCGCCAGATGTGTGCCCCGCTAAGACAGAGCTGGGGTATGATGCCCTGGCAGGGTGGGGGAGTGTCTCCAGTCACACTGAGGTGTGATTCCCAACCCGTAAAGTAGAGGAAAACAGCCTCTCTACATGGGGATAAATCCACATATGTAATTATAGGCTGTGACGGGAGGTGTGGCCGCTCACTCCCGGCCGTGAGTGTTGCTGGGGGCAGAGGGGAGAAGACATGAAACCTGCCCCTGCAAATGGCAGGATGGGCCAGGAAGCCACCTTCCACATCTCCCCCATGGGTGTCCTCCAGCCCAGCCTCCCCTTACAGCCCCTTGAGCTTCTTCTCTGCCCAGCAACACGGGGTGCATCTGCCTCATCTAGAAGCTTCCAGGGCTCCCTCACTCCTAGAATGAAACCCACACTTGGTGCCGCCACTTGCCTCCCGCATCCGGAAGGGACACATCGTACCAACAGCCCCTCTTACTAAGTCTGCACGCTAGGGAGAGGTTTCCACTGGCAGTTCCCATGGAGTAGTCTCTGGAAACCAGGGTCGACTGGGGGGAGGGTGTCAGAGCCCCTGTGGGAGTTGCCCCTGTCAGCTGTTCAGCTGCCCGCTGAACAGGGCCAGGGTCTGTCGGAGGGCTCAGTGCAGGCTGGATATGGAAGGAGGCACCCAGGAGGGAGCCAGGAGGCAGGGATGTAGAAAGTACCGGGAAGCCACCTGCAAAGGTGTTTACGAACCCCTAGCCCTGCACTCAGGCCCATGTAGGAGCAACTCTAACCCATGCCCCGTGCAGCAGACTGGCCCACTCTCAGACTGGAGGCAAAGCAAAGCCAAGCAGAAAATGTGGTGAAGGAAAAGGGGATGACCTGGGACTAGAGCCCCTGAGGCTGCAGCTAAAACCCCAGCATCCTGCACAGGATGGAGGCAAGACCCCAGCCTCACAGAATGGCATTCAAAATATTGCAGCCAGAAGTGGTGACACCTGGAGAACCCTGAAAAGGCCGGCCAGCAGAGAGAAGACCTCCAGCACTAGCAACCCTGGGAAGCACTTTGGCACCATACTCAGGGTCGTTCCAAACAGAGACCACCAAGACAAAGCACAAAAGTGCAGAAACACAGCACTACACGGGCCATGAAAAGGACACTTTCCGGTATGGGCTGAAACAAGAAGGCGGATGCTGCCCTGTTCACCCTCAGCTGAGAAAACTCACCTGGCACTCATGTGTTTTGCTGCCCTGTGTATGTCCATAAATGACCATGCAAGTATTGATTTGGGGATTATAAATAATTTTTGGTTAGTAGGCAAAATTGCAAACACAAAATCCACAAATAATGAGGACTGTGTTAACAAATAAAATCCAGTAATATATAAAGAAAAGAACCAAGTAGAGTCTCTCCTGAGACTGTAAGGCTGGCTTAGTATTCAAGAAAATCAACCAATGTAAAGCGAGAGTCTAAAGAAGAAAAATCACATGAACGTATTAATGGATGAGGAAAAAGCACTTGACAAAATACAACATCTGTTTGTGAAGAAAAAAGCACTTGACAAAATACAACATCTGTTTGTGAAGAAACCCTGCGCCACCCAGATGCCCCTTGCCTAATTGTTCTTGTTAAGACTCCCAATTCTATGTTGAATATGAGTGGCAACAGTAAACATTCTTGTCTTATTCCTGAATTAGAGGAAAGCTTTCAGCTTTTCACCATTGTGACATCGGCTGTGGGCTTGTCATGCACAGCCTTTGTTATGTTGAGGTATATTCTCTCTAGACCTGCTTTATTGAGTTTTTATCATAAGTGGATGTTAAACTTTGTCAAATCCTTTTTATGCACCTACTGAGATAAACACATGATTTTTATTCCTCATTTTATTAATGAGGCGTATCACACGGACTGATTTGTGGATGTTGAACCACCTGCATCTCTGGAATAAATCCCACTTGATCACAGTGTATGATCTTTTTTAATGTATTGTTGAATTTGGATTGTTAAAATTTGTTTGAGGATTTTTGCATCTATGTTCATCAGGGATATTGTTTTTGTTGTTGTTTTGTTTTGAGTTTTTTTGGTGGCATCCTTACCTGGTTTTGGTATCAGGGTAATGATGGCCTCATAAAATGTTTGGAAGTGCTCCCCCGTCTTCTGTTTTTTAAAGGGTTTGAAAGGATTGGTATTGATTCTTCTTTAGATGTTTGTGGAGTTTGCCAGTAAAGTCATCTGGTCTTGGACTTCTGTTTGTGGGGATGTTTTCGATGACTGATTCATTTTCCTTGCTGGTAATCGGTCTGTTCAGATTTTCCATTAATTTTCCATTGAATGCCATGATTCAGGCTTGGTAGGTTGTATGTTTCTAGGAATTCATCCATTTCTTCTGGTTGTCCGATTTATTGGTGTGTAATTGTTCATAGTAGTCTCTTACGATCCTTTGTATTTCTGCAGTATCAGTTGTAACTTCTCTTTCATTTCTCATTTTATTTGAGTTCTCTCTCTTCTTTTCTTGGTAAATCTAGCTAAAGGTTGTTAATTTTGTTTATTTTTTCAAAAAACCAGCTCTTCGTTTCATTGATCTTTTCTATTATCTTTTTAGTCTCTATTTCATTTATTTCTGCTCTGATCCTTGTTAT